GAGAGAGAGAGAGAGAGAGAGAGAGAGAGAGAGAGAGAGGGGCATTCTTGTTATGTTTTGTTGATATGCCTTTCTCTGCTATAGGCCAGTTTTGCCTATAGGCCAACATTTGCTATAGGCCAACATTTTGCCTAATGTTGAAATAGCTGCTCTTTATCCCAATTAACTCCTGCCTTCAATTATTTAAAGCTGCACAGGGCAGACCCAAAATGTGTTAATTGCCAGCACTGGAGCCACTTCGGCTTTGCAGGCTCCACCTTAGTCAGAAGGGAGAATGTGGAATAGTCAAGAAGAGGGCACCTGTGCGACTGCAGAGATGTCTCGCCTGCTTTTGTGGAGGTTATTGCTCACCGGGGATCTGTTTTCTTTTTGCACATAGTGTTTTTTCCCTTTTTCTTTTTGCATGGCCAGAATGGGATGAAGGGTCAGATCTGTCTGGTAAGTCTCTCAAGATGAGATTGCAAAGTGAGGATCTTTTGCCTGTCTAGCTGGAGCCTTTTTGAAAGGGAGTAAAGGATGCTAGGGAAGTTTCAGGATCACCTCCACCCTCCTTGCCAGTGGAAATGCCCCATTTTCCCTCTCCAAGGGGCATGTTCCAAACCTCAGAAAACAGCCAGCATGGCTCTTCCTACACCAGCCACACGGAGGAAGGCAGGCGGATGCCTCAGAGCTCCAGTTCCCAGTTCTGAGGGCTGAGTTCTTTCACTGGATGGGGGAACCCAAAATATCAAATGCTACCTTTAGGATCGTTCTCTTATGGGCTCAAGAAAGTATACACCCACTTTTGTGCTGCTCCCAGTTCCTTGTGTTCTGGGTTTGTAGTTCACATCCATTTATTGATCCCTCATTATTGCTCATGGGGACAGACAGCAGGTTCCTAGCCGGGCCTTTGGGGAGCACAGCAAGGGTTTGAGGGACTAGTGGAGGGGACCCCCCAACTTCACAATCAGTGCAAACAGAGCCACTTTATCACAAAATTGCTGAGACAAAATGAATATGTAAAGAGCTGCATCCTTGGAAACAGCCCTTTCCAGCAAGGAAGGCGTTGCCCTGCAGGATTTCATTATCTCTGCCTCCTCTCGATGCTATATGGAGCTTGGGGTTCCGTGATGCTTTCGGGCTAATTTCTAAGTTTGACATCGCTAAATTGAGTTTGAACACTGCTCTCCTTTGCAGCCAGAGCTGAAGCTTCTTTCCCTCCCTCCCTTCCAATGCAGGAAAGTGTGATCACTTATTACACTACTATGACAGCAGCCATTCTTATTAAAATGTCCCATGCTGTGTAAATCCCAACAGGCAGCCAGAACACAAGGACATGGCATTTGGCCCTCACTTGCCTCTGCCCACTGTGCCGACAGAGGTGATGATGAGAGGAAGCCGGAGCTATCTGCATAGCACCGTACAGATTTCTGGCAGTGAGTACAGAACGTACCTGCTTTTTCAGCTTCCCATTCTTTTGTGCTTTGCGTTAACGCACCAAACTGACAAACTGAAGGTGTGTCCTTATGGGGCTGCTGCTCAGCCCTGAGGACATTCTGTGCATGGTTCCTTCCCATGAGTTTCTGCTCTTTGTGTTCAGATGTTTGCTGGTGCATAGATTTGATAGATGATAGTCACTTGCCTGGGACTGTGGCTGCCTAACTTTAAAGGGCTGGGAAAGGGTCTGTCATGGACTGTGATAGGGAGAGATGAGCATTCAGGTTTTGCTCACCGAACTTTTGACTGTGCTTGCAAATTGCTGGGCTCAGTATGTACAGCTTTCCCAGTTTTGCACACCTTTCCTGATTCATACATATTTCATACCCATATATGATGTGGGGAAATGTGCATGATTTTAACATCTTTGGTCAGTCCTGGAGCTGCATGATTTTTGTGCAGAGTGAACACCAATTGCAAATGAGAAGAGGGACTGGGCATGAGGCGAGCAGAGAGATGTTAGGAGGATCTTGAAATGCATTCATTCACCCACACCTGCACAGTGATACTGAGTGTTCCTCTAGCCAGCCTGCCCTGATCTTTGGTCTCCAGAGATTTGGGAAGGCTGGTGTCCTTTTGTATCTTTACCACTATCAGTCACAATCACTATTGCACATTGCATTTATACCCCACCATTTTTCCTCTGGTAAGGAGCTCACGGTGGCTTACATGGTTCTTCCCTTCATCGTATCCTCGTAACAACCATTACCCAATGAGGTAGGTTGGGCTGAGAGTGCGTGACCAGCCCAAGTCACCCAGTGAGCTTCATGGCCAGGTGAGGGCTAGAACTTGGAACCTGAACACTCCAACTACCACCATCTGGAGATCCAAGGCTGAGAATCACTGATGCATTACATCAAGTGGCAATAGTTCCTCGAGGCTGGGCCTTTAGCCAGTATGGACTCAATTAATTTGGTCTTCCTTTACAACACCAGCTTCCTCTCTTATTCTGGAACCCCCCTGGGATCTATTTTCTGATGAGGACCAGGGAGGATCTCATAGTGTCCCTAGACCAACAGAAAAGCTAATCGGCATCTCAGTGAAATCTGAGCATTGTCCCTGGATACGTCCCACCTTGGAAACATTCAAAATCTGATGGATCTCTTCAGCATCTTAAGTTGCATTGCCCCCACTCAAATGCTAGTTGGCCACAGCTGGGTGCACATGATAGCGCAGACACACCAAAAGGCAAGCCCAACTAGTGCAGTTGTGTGACTCAGGAGTCGCTGAGGAGCTGCTAGTCAGTCCTTATCATGAAGGGATGCACAGGATGCTGATGGGGGCCTAGAGGGGGGTGGTAGGGGAAACTGCATGAATGCTGCACCCACCTTGATTATCCTATTTAATCCCAGGCATTGCTCATGTGGTGGGTGAAAGTTCAACCAAGAGGGAAGGTTCAACACAGATTCCTTGCTATTTCTTCCTACAACTGTAGTGGACTGTCTGAGCCCCTCAGGCTGCATGTGGCCCATAGCCTAATAGCACTGCGAGTGATCTGCTCGCACATTTAGCAAGTGCAAACTGTCCCTTCCTGGCAGTCTGTGGGGAAGCAGAGGGAGAAATGGTGGAGGGAGGGAGAATATGAGAGAGAGAGAGAGAGAGAGAGAGAGAGAGAGAGAGAG